ACTAAGCATAAAACTATATAGATCATTGAACCTTATAAATATGCCATCAAAATGTAGATAATATAGAGTTAATCTCATAAACTAAAGAGGAAATACTTCAAACATTGAGTTTAGAAAGGAAGAGTGATATTAAGTTACAGACTTGTGACTTAAGGTTAAAAAAGCTCTAGGCATAGCCCTTTTAGAGTGGAGGTCTGGAGCAGTATTGGTCCATGAAGTTGTCAATTGTGCCTATCAAATCTTTCATCCTTCCTTCTAAGGCTTTTAACTTACCATCGACTTGTGAAAATCGAGCATCTAAGACAAGGACTCTACTCTTGCATTTAAGAAGCTATTGGAGATTGAGTCAAAGTAGTGGCAAAATAACTAAGTCATGCCAAAGGATGATGGGACACTGGGTGAGAAGTTTCAGCTTCTACCATAGGAGTGTCTCCATGTTCTTCCTCGTGGTGATGGTCTTCTTCTTCTAGATTCTCTTGTTCTTCTTCCATATCTACTAGAGCTTCTTGGTATTCCATATTCCTTTAGTGAAAATTTTGGTTTCCTTTTTTATCCTAACCCTACACCTCTTGAAACTACTTTTGTCACGTGCCTCTCATGATAACATAGGGACTTTAAAGTCTTTAAATTTGGGCCTATATGATTTATCCAATTTGTCATCCTTAAATACTTCTTATAGGACATCCACATAACTAGCACCCTTAAGATTAGACCATTGGTCCTTTCTATACAAGGAAGGTCGTGCAGAATTTGTTAGTAGGATTTTACGTAATCTGATTGTAGACAATTTTATATCTATTCCCTTAACATAGGAGGTGAAATCACTTCCAGATGGATAAAAGGTGAAGGTTGAGTAGAATTTTCTAACCAACCCTAGATAGACATCTTGGTGAATACTGACAAAGTTTTCTCACCCTAAGGCATTCAATGGAATTTGGATATTAAACCCTATTAAAGCCAATACCTCTAGGTCAGTTGTTCTACCTTTTATGATTATCTTCTCAACAATGAAAAAAATGTACTTTACTTCATCTTCCTTGTATCAAAAGTTTAGGTTAACTCATTCTTGTGCATGTCTTGTTATAGCATTTGATGTCCTAGATCTTTTTTTCTACTACTAGATGAGGCCATTTATCAGAATTTGTTTTGAGTGATGGAAGAATGGACTGTGATCATGCAAGAGGGTTTCTAGTTATTGTAGAGTGAGAGAAACTTTCAGAAGTCAGGTTAAAGAATGACTTGACATTCTTATTACCTTGCAAAGCAGCAGATTACTAACCTCAAGTAGCTAACTACTTTACCTAGCACACTACCTCGGTTTAAGATAGTCGACTATAGTTTTTCGATAGACAACTACTTGAGATAGTAATTGCTAGTAGTCAACTATACCAATCTCAAATAGCCAATTGCTTTCAATAGGCAATGTTCAAGTAGTTTTGTTTTCACTTTTCTAAGCTCAAATCAAAGCATAAGGACTCAACAATTTTACCATCATTGGTTCAATTTGAATATTGGACCAATGTATTTCAAACCTCAATGTTGTTGCCCATTTTATCTTGGGTCCATTATGGTTAGTTCTATCCTTTAGAGCCCATCTAACACTTGGATCCTTAGGATTTCTTCTAAAATAGCAATAATAACTTGAATAACCTGATTTGCATTAATAAGTACAAGGAGGCTTTACTTTATAATTTGAGACTTTTATAAATTTCCTTTTATGTGATTTACTATTATGAAAATAGGCATAACCAATTAGATTCATATCATTCTTTTTCCTTTGATCTCCCTACAAA